CCCACCCACCACGTGCAACACACACCTACCTCTGTCCTCTACATGCTCAGGTGACTAAGGACACACACTGAGCAAATTCTGCTTGGAGGCACATGATTGGAATGGTAATAGATGCTTCTAGGACTGCAGAATTGTGTGTGTGTGTGTTTATTAGAATGTGTGTACCTCTGAAGAGCCTCCAGTAGCTGTTTCAGTGCAGTGGAGAGCCTTTGTAGGCAGGAGAGGGCTTCCTGAGGTGGGGGTGAGGTAGATCGCTGGCTGGGCTCAGTGGATCCTGGAGTGTAGTGGAGCGCTGAGAACAAAGCCGAACTGAAGAGAGAAACAAACGGAAATTAACATTAAAACAACACTGTAATGCAGTGAAGTTTCTTTTTTGTTTGCTGTCGATAAAGCCTCAGTAGACAGTGTAAGACCTGATCAGCATTTCTTCTCATTCTTCAAAGTTAATATTTTAGCAGAGGGTGTTTATGAAACAAAACAAACAAAAATAATTAAAAATTTTTTAAAAGAAGTCACCAAAGTCTAAAAAATACAGTAAAAGGTAATATTGTGAAATTTCATTACAATTTAAAATAAAAAAGAAGTTTTCTTAAAATGTAATTTATTCCTGTGATAGCAAAGCTGAATATTCAGCAGCCATTACTCCAGTCTTCAGTGTTACATGATGCCTCAGAAATCATTCTGATGTGCTGATTTGGCGCGCAATAACATTATTATTAATGTTGAAAACATTTGTGCTGCGTTATACTTGTGTGGAAACTATTATTAAAAAATCTGGATTTTTTTGATAAATAGAAAGTTAAAAAGAACAGCATTTATTTAAAAATATAAATATTTTGTATTTTGCGAAACTTACGGAGTCCAAACTTTTGAACAGAAGTGTATGTTGAGAAATAAATACACTTCTGTCTTTGTCATTGACTCTCTTACCTAATCTGACACACATTGTTCCAGATGCTCTCAAATAACATCCAAACATTTTGATGTGATGTCTGAGGAGGCGGAGCTACATCCTCCTCTATCTCTGCCATCAGAGAGTCCTTATTATCAGTGTCATCACCCTCTGCTGGTGCTTTCGGAGACTGTCTCACACACACACACACAATTAATGAGTAATTAGAATTAAACAATTATCCACTGTTATATCATAATGAGACTGACCTGTAGTCTTTCCTTTAGCATATGCAGTGTAGAAAGAGCTTGAGCTACATGACCATTGTACTGAGATCTGCCAGCCAGTGCCGACAGCAGCTCTGCAGCCAATCTCACAGCACTGAGAGCAGATATGTGCTCTATGGACCTGTCTACAGACAGACACAACACAACATTATATAACAGATAGATAGATAGACAGACAGACAGACAGACAGAACACTTACACATGAACTAATTTAACACATGACTATCTGCAATACAGTTCAGACATATTTCTGCTGTGTCATAATATATTCTGTCCATTCTGTCTGTTTGCTATCTTTTTATGATCTCCTCAGTTTCTGGAGTCAGGAGGCCCTGATAGCCTGTGGACACTGCTGAAGAAAGGAAGGGAGGAGAGAAGCTTAAAAAAAGGCAGAAGTGGGTTAAAAACAATAAAGTTTTACAAATGTGTTCACAGCTCTAAGTGGGAGAGAGACCCATTTATAAAAGGTCATCGTCTCTTGGACACATACCACTAACCCACTAACACAAAAGAACACACAAAATGAGTGAAGGACACTCCCTCAACTCCATAAAGTGCAGTAAATCACATTTAGGCGAGAACAGGAGGGCCCTGGTACTTTTCCACCCCTCCACTCCTGCACAAACTCCCTTCCTCCCCTCTGTCGGGCTGGGCTCATAGCCAAAGGCAGCAGAGAAGAAAGGCACAGTCATACTCCTGCTGCAGTGATTGGCAGAATGAGGTCAAACTCATAACTCCACACACAACATGAGAACAGTGTGAGAGTATGAGTGTGGACCAAAACCACAAACTTAGAGATGTGCATACACACAAACAAACACCAATTACCCTGGTGTTTAGTGGGAACCATTTAAAGTAATAATTTACCCAAAAATTCTGTCATCTTTTACTCTGTAGTATTTTTTCCCTCTCACTGGGGACCAGCAACTGTTCAGTTACCCACATTCTTCAAAATACCTTATTTTGTGTTCAGCAGAAGAAAGAAACTCATACACGGTTAGAACAACTTGAAAGTAAATGATGACAGAATGTTCATCTATGGGTGAGCTATCCCTTAATGACATAATGAGCAACTGTAGGACATACAAACAGCCCAGCAGGGGGAGCAGGTTGAGTAGTCCCTAAATCTATGCATTTTTGTCCTTTCTTACATAAAGATTATGAGGAAACAAACTGTGACAGAATAGAATAGAATAGAATTACTGTAATAACAAAATGAAAATTCAGAGATTTTCAGATTCAACATTTTAGAAATACAATAATGAATTTGACAAAGGTGTGTCAGCAATGCATGATTACTTATGAATAATAATTTTTTTTTTTTGAGAATATACACAATTGTTTAAAAGTTTGGAGTTGGAATGTTTTTAAAAGAAGGCTCACCAAGGCCGCATTATTTTTCCACAAATATAGTAAATACAGCAATATTGTGGATATTATTGCAATTTGAAATTACTGCTTTATATTTTAATATATTTTAAAATGTAATTTATTCATGTGATGATGAGGCTGAATTTTAAGTCATTACTCCAGTCTTCAGTGTCACATGATCCTTCAGAAATCATTCTAATATGTTGATTTGAAGGTCAAGTAACATTTCTTATTATCAATGTTGAAAACAGTTGTGCTGCTTCATATTTTTGTGAAAACTTTGATATATTTTTTTTCCAGAATTCTTTGTTGAATAGGAAGTTCAAAAGAACAGCATTTATTTGAAACAGAAATATTTTGCAACATTATAAATGCCTTCACTTTTTTTTACTGACCCCAAACATTTGAACAGTAGTGTAACAGAACAGAATTGTGGAATACAATAAAAATAAAAATCTACAATGGGACAGAACAGAATTCTAAAACAACATAATTCTATAATTAGAATATAATTATAGCACAAAATTGGGATTCTAATTTAGAGAGGGATAAAATTGGAATTTATTATAGTTACAGAGTATCAGATTAAAGTAGTGAGACATACACACCTGAACAGAGACAGTCACTCAGCATCTCCACACAGCTGAGCAGGCTCCTCTTAATAATGCTTCCGAACACAGCTATCCAGTGCTTCTTAAAACACTTGAGCAGCCCCTCCAGATTCCACGGAGGCTTCACATACACTATCTGCATACACAAACAGATAAGGTCAAAGAGAATGGGACTACAGAGAATGTGAGACCTGAATCACACTTAAAGGGATAGTTCACCCAAAAATGAAAATTTGATGTTTATCTGCTTACCCCCAGGGCATCCAAGATGTAGGTGACTTTGTTTCTTCAGTAGAACACATATGATGATTTTTAAGTCCAACCGTTGCAGTCTATCAGTCTTATAATGAATGGCAATGGTAACAAAATCTATGAGAGTAAAAAAAACATGCACCAGACAAATCAAAATTAAACCCTGCGGCTCGTGACGACACACTGATGTCCTAAGACACGAAACGATCGGTTTGTGCCAGAAACCGAACAGTATTTATATAATTCTTTACCTCTAATACACCACTATGTCCAACTGCCTTTGAGCGCTTGCACGGCATCCGGTGCGTGAGGTGTGTACGCACTCTGGCGTAGTTTACGCAAGCGCCGGAAGTGATCTCTCGCGCGTATACCTCACTCATTGTTTACACAGTGCACAAACATTGTAGGTACGACTAGTCCGACTCTCTAACCATTAGGCCACGACTTCCCCAAAATTTACCTAAGTACAGTAACGAAGTAAAACTACTCCGTTACTGTCCACCACTGCTCAAAGGGTTAGTTCACCCAAAAATGAAATTAGCCCATGAATTACTCACCCTCAAGTCACGAATCCAGTCGGAGTTATATTAAAAATTGTCTTTGATCTTTCAAGCTGTTTAATGCCACTCAGCGGGTGTTGCTAATCGGTGCCTGGGTTGCGTACATATATGTGGGGCGGAGCTATCAAAATAGGGGCAAGACCCTTTTGGGGTAGGGGCGTGTTTGTTTTGGTGATTTCAAATATCAACCTTGGCTACCAGAAATCGCTTACTCTGCCTTTAAATAAAAGTGCCCATCCATTAAAAAAATTTTTTCTTACGAAAACGCATCGATTCGCTACAGGAGGCCTTTGTTCACCCCCCCGAGCCGTGTGAGACACTTTTTTTTAATGGATGGGAGCTCTTTATTTAAATTCTTTTGGACTGATGTTTGTAACACTCCAAAGAGAAAGGAAAAAATGAAATCGCATCATATGACCCCTTTAAGAGGAGCAGTTCTTAATATAAACTTCATAAAAAATGAATAGATCAATAGATCAATGTGTGCAGTGGTACCTCAGTCCACAGTTCTCCAAAAGCCGCCTTCATCTCTTCCTCCAGCACCTCTGACAGTGCCACCTGGAGGCAGGACTCCAACAAAGACACACACTCGCTCAACTGTCGTTCCTCCGCTTCATCACTGCATTTATTCTTTTGTGATCCTTTCTCCTCTGCTTGATCACACAGGGAGGTGGCAACAAAATTACATTCAGGCCTTTGTAACTTAAGAATTAAAAAAACTACTAATGAAGGAAAAACTGTGACACGGTAACTGACCTTTCTCTACAGGTTCAGCTGGGGGCGGCACAGCGGGTTGAGCATGAATGTAATTTAGAATTGTAGATCTGGTTCCCTCCACTTCTTTTACCAAGTCTACCTTACTTAAGGCCTTCACCCCACTGAGCAGAGCCTTGCTGCACAAGTTCTTATCATTGCTACAAAAAGAAACCAGAGAGAGAGAGAGAGAAGACACATTTGAGCAGAAGGAAGTCATGTCCTCTACCTTCAATATGAACATTCTTCAGGGTGACACTAATGGCTGAAATATAATCATTAAATCAGATAATCTTCATTCATAAAGCAAACACATGGCCACCTTGCATTTCATTAGCTATGTCAAATGACAAGGCAGGTCAAACAAATGGGAATGTCCTTAATGTCATGCAGACATGCCTAGAGGTGAAACAGAGGTATGAGAATTTGTACTCACGTGCAAAGAACTAGTGCTCCCTCTGGGTACAGAGCCTGGTACTGCAGACAGCACTCCAGCACTCTGTCGTCATTATTCACAACACCAGGCCCACCTGAATGAGAGAAAAGCCAAGAGACAAAGGCTGAACTCATATAATCCATATTATGCACAGTACTTTTGTAGATTAGGAGTGGTGCAACTATGTCAAAGGTGTCTGGGTGGCATAATGTTTCCTGTGGATTCTTTAAGTATGCATGAATGCTTTTAGAGCTAATATTGCCTATAATCCACTGCACTATGGAAGAGCTTGAGTTTCAGAATTTTTGATGTAGATGACTATATGACAAAGTGGTTTTTGGTATCACAATGCAATTTTATGACACAGCTGTAAAACACTTTTTAACACTACTTTGGAATCACACAACCGGTCTTATAATTTAATATTAATAATTTTAAAATAATGCAGTGCTATTTTAATATATTTTATATACTTTTATAGTATTTATTTATATTTTGAATTTGGCCTTTATTTTTTCATATTTTCAGTTGTCAAATTTAAGTTTTTCCATCTAATATTTATACTTTGACTTTAATTCAGTTAACAAAAATGAATAATGCAGCTGAGTGGTAACGTCTTTAATTATACAATTGTTCAAAGTCTTTTTACAAGTACAATTAATTATCATGAACTTTAAATGAAATAAGAAAGAAAATAATTATGGACCAATGAGGGTTTTTTATTCAAACGGAAATGCCCCTGCAGTAGATTTTTATTGCCCCTTCACAAAGTGTGCTTCTTTTTACATTTCTTGAAAAATAAGACACACAGTACAGGCACATCACGAATACAAATAATAATGCATCTCAGGATAAGAATCACTCACCAACAGCTTGAGATGCCTGCTGCATTGACTGGCCCACAAGTCTGGGCTCCTGATTTTTTAGGCAGCTGTAAATGTAGTGGACAGCTGGCCTGGCTTTGTATTCCACTTTGCTGGAGAGTTTACCACTCTTTAGATAGTCCAACTCCTGCAGCACCACCCATGGGATCAGCAAAGTGGGGAACCCCAGCCCTGTGATGAGGATGTTCAGAGTGAAATGTTGCATCCACATAATTCTTCCAATGTTTTAAAGTTAAAAGCTAGTGACTTAAAATCTCTCTTTTTTTCTTACCACCAAGACCATGTGACCTAATCTTCTTCACAAACTCCAGGTGGCTGAGCAGCACATTGGTATCCAGAACAATAAGCAGGGCCTGTTTATGTTGATCTTCACATGTATGAGTTAAACGCACAAAGACACAATAGAGCATAACTATGCACCATGATTCAAATAAAAGAATCTTTACAACAAGGTGCATACTGTTGGACGTTACTAACTTGAGGCTCGTACACCAAGGATGATAACGATAACAATAAAGATATCATTTTAAATCACTCTAAATGTAAATAACTAGCACAGTCCACACAACAACTACAATGATAACGGCACAGAGGATATTGTTGGAATCACTTTCGCAATGATTTTTTTCCAGCTGATGAACGATAAAAACATTGGCATCCGTTCAAACACTGACATATTTATTTTTATAGTTATCATTCTTGGAGAGTGAACGGGCCTTTAGCTATTCCAGTAATAAGTTATTAAAAAAATTATTCATAGGTGACTTTACTAAGCATTGTGCCGGCACCCTCTTCTGGAGCGTCAATGTCCATGCAGGTGAGCTCTCCGCAGTTCTCTATCAAGTTCACCTCCAGTCGCCTCTCAGAGCGTGCCAGATGAAGCTCCTCCACCAGCTCCATCTAAACAAGGAACGAAAGAGAATGAGAAACATACAAATCCAGAAGACTTCATTCTAAAATCAGAGGCACGTTGTTAACCTCGTGGTCGCAGTCAAGGGTCTCTGCAGCCTCCTGGAGAGTTACCTGAAATCATACATAGGTATGTTAGAGATATGTTACAATTCAGCATCATTAATAATGTTCAAATTCACTGTCATTTCCTCTTAAATACAATCTAAAATTGACCATATTCTCTTTTTTGTTGTCTTCAATACCGTGAGGACTATTGGATAATGTTAACCGGTACCCCAATAGCCTTATAGCCACTGTTTTAGTGAACTCTCATACAGATCTGACTGTATTCTGCTATAAAACTGTGCTGGAAATTTTTCATGGAGAATTAAATGTTTTACTTGAAAAGAGTGCTAATGAAAGTTTTTAAAGAGTATGGAAATATTTCTTATGTTGCAATCTGAAATGTTGAAATGTACTGTGCAGCCATAGAGGGAAATGGAACAAGTGTATGCTACAACTAGTTTGTCTTATGACTCAGTCTAGATGGGAAGTAACTAATGATAGAGATGCTTAGAAGAGAAGTGAGTGAAAACAATCAAATTGAAGAAAATATTTCAACCTTACTATTTCTATGCATTTCTTAAAATATAAATATGTGAATAATCGTTTGGTTGGAGAGTCACTTACATGTTGTACCTTGCAGGAAGTATTGCTCGGCGTTGTGGCCTCTCTTGTTTTGTCAGTGTGTGTCTGCTGGACTGGTCTGCAGTGAGATGTAGACGAAAGATGTGACAAGCTAAGAGAAGAGGGTTTATGAGAGGTTTGAGCAGAAACCTCTTGAAGCCTCTGTCCTTGCTGCTGTGAGATGAGAAATTTGTGTTTAGATGGAGTAGAATCATGGAAAGAAGGCCGAGCGGTACTTTGAGTCCTGCTATCTGAAGAATTCACATTACACACATCCGTGTTTGTCCAAGCTTTAACAGCAGTGACCTTCTTTGGGATCTTGAAACTGACATTTGCTGTGGGACCAACAAGGGATGGCCTTTTTTCTCCTAAGATTACACCAGGGACATTACCCAACTGTACATGGTCTAGCTTCTTGGGTGAAATATCTTCTGGTAATTTCAGTTTAGAGCCTACATGTTTCACTACTGGCAAAGCTTCTTTGGAGTTGCCTTGAGAACTCTGTGCACCAACATTATGGTCAATCTTCTTGAACCTCCTGGCCACCAACGTCTTCCTCGTTTCCTTTTGAACTTCAGAATGAGATTCTGCATGTGCAGCATTGGTCATGTTTTTGATGTCTCTTCGTTTGGGTTCAGCATGAAGCTCTGGTGACAACGGCCTTTTCATGAGTTTCCTCCTTTTCTCTTGTGGTTTCTCAGGGGAACAATCATCCTTTGCAGGTGTCCGCCTGGGATACTCTGCTGTGGATCTCCTCGATACCAGCTCCTGTCTCTTTTTCTCCAACTCTTTTGAAGAAGGCTGGTTTGTTGCAGAATGCCTGCTGGAGCTTTTCCCTGAGATATGGGGACTTGCTTTTTCATGCTTCCCTTTATGATTCACTTGCTCCTTCTCATGTGTGACAGGTGACTTGAAAACTGGCCTGGAATTCTCTGTTGTTTGGCTTTCTCGGGATCTTTCTTCCCTGCTCTTGCTGTCTCTAACTTTTGCTTTCTTGAATCCTCCTTCAAATCCTTTTGTTGATGTTGAGTCAGTGGCCCTCCTCTCTTTAGCTCTGTCTTTGTCAGAACTGCAAATCATTAGAAAAAGAAGTCAGTGGTAAGTTTTATTGAATAGATAACACTCACGGTAACTCTGGCGAGAAAACGGTGATTGAGGAAATATAAAAATGTGATCTGATTTACTTTCTATATTAAATTTTTTGTTGTTTTAGGTTCTTCTATGTTTTATTTACATTTATTATGCTGATCTTTTTTAACTTGTGCATTGCACTATTATTACATTGCATTATGCTGAAGCAGGGTAAGAGGCTCTACCACAATAAAGCTAACTTGTGACCTTCTGTAATAAATGCTGATGGTATAACACCTGTAAGCAAGACATGTATCTGATGAACTTGTGTTAAGAACATCTACTTACTCTCAGGTGCACTTGGAAATTGTTAGCCATGGCATGTGAAGTACTGTATTTGCTTAATGCAGATTTAAAATGTAGATTCCTATAACCAAGTAATCATTGATTAAACGCATTACTCTTTTTATCATCAACTTTTATTGTATTCTGGTTATAACGGAATCAATTTCAGTTAAAGGTTTCATAATTTTTTTGAAGGGGCAATGAAAGAATTTGACTTGCCCAACCGAACAAGTAACTTGCTGATTAAAACGTCAGCAACCAAAAAAGAACAAAACAAAAAAACAACGAAACTTCGGTGAGAATAGTTCTTGTTTTATAACGGCGTTTGATACTACATAATGTAATTACGATAACAAGGTAGCGCCAGTTGAGGCTCTTGCAACCTGTCTGTGAGAGAAATCAAATCAAATGAGGGCAACAGCACACAAAGAGAAACAAACAAACATACTGCGGTAAAACATTATAAACATACTGCGGTACAGTCAAAATATTGAGTTTTTATATTTATAACATATGATAGTTAAACGACGGCACAATTATAAGATCGTTTGCAAATGTGACATAGATTTTTTATAAAACAACTATGTTAATATAAAGTGACTTACATTTTAGACATAATGACAGTTTATTTCGCCAACGAGAAGAGTTCCAAACAAATATACTGCAGAACTTGCACATCTTTGAGCAGCAGACTATGTTCTTTCGTCGACGAATGATTCAGCGTTTTCGAATGAATCGTGTGAGTCAGTGGTTCAAATGGACATATTCATACAGTCACTTGCTTCATACTTGAATGAATCAGCCGTTTGAATGAATGACTGAATGATTCACTCATTAAGACAGTCACTTGCCGCCACCTACTGGCGGTTTAGTTTTATTTTTAAGTATCATTGCTTATAACGACTTAATTTTCTCGTGATCTCGACATAACGGGAGTTGTTTTCTCGTTATAACGACTTAATTTTCTCGTTATCTCGACATAACGGGAGTTGTTTTCTCGTTATAACGACTTAATTTTCTCGTTATCTCGACATAACGGGAGTTGTTTTCTCGTTATAACGACTTAATTTTCTCGTGATCTCGACATAACGGGAGTTGTTTTCTCGTTATAACGACTTAATTTTCTCGTTATCTCGACATAACGGGAGTTGTTTTCTCATTATAACGACTTAATTTTCTCGT